TTGTTTTTGTAGCTGACATCCCTACCTTGTGTGTTGTTGATACTGAGCTCTTCTTAATAATGGTGCTTGAAATTCTGAAATAATTCCCTGTAAGCCCTGTATCTGACTAAATCTCTATAGAAGTCTCTAAATTGGAGGTATCGTTGTGGGATTGAAGCCAAGGAAGCCATAACTGTAACAGCAGGATTCTTAGTACAAAGACATGAAAAGAAGACTGGTTCCTTAGGGAAACTTCAAAGGGTACAAGTGAGGAGCTGACTGAGCACGCTGAGATAGGTGAGGGGCTGGGTTCAGTGTGGTGGGATGGTCTCCAGGCCCATCCACCGCACCACAGAGAGACTCCGAAGGCAGAAATTTAGAGAATTCTTCTGGAATTTAGAGTAGCCTCTAGTCCGGAATCAAAGCCTTCCCACAACAAACGCCATCTCAACGTCGATCTCAAATGTCGATTTTTCATAGTCAGCCTCCTTGCTTCTCTGTCTTTCTGCCTCTCATTCTTAAATATGAATAATTAACTGGCTTTCACCAGCCATTTGAAGAAAGGCAGCTCCATAGACCGAAAGCTCAAGACAAACTCACTTGGAGGAGAATGGAGATCATTTCAGGAGTCCAGGTCCAGAATGCACACATGAGAGTTTGCTAAGATAAACTAATATTGAGGTACATTAAAACTCAAATACCTTGTATTTTTGTATGCATCAATTCGGGGAAAAAATATGTAGTTTAGCAAAACAGGATTGGAATCAAAAAGTAAAAGTCTTCAGTGGAAATTAAAACAAGAAAGCAGGGGTTCCTTCCAACCTTAGAGGTCAAATGCTGTAGTAGTTGGATGATAGCTATTAAGTTGAAGGAGGAAGAAGTGACTCTTCTCCCAACCAGGAGAAACTAACAAACAAACAAACATAACAAGCTGTACAATAAAGTTCTAGTTCAAATATCACCAAATTAAACTATAGCAAATTAGGGGAGGGGGCCACTGCCAATGGGAGATGCCAACGAGTGCAGTATAGAGAATGCTTTCAGGAAAGCAAAATGTCTTCCAATTTCCCCAGGGCCCAGCTTGACAAGAGGCAATATGGTATGTTGGAGGGGAGACAGAGAGTGGTCAGTTACACATACTAATGTGGAAACCTAGCAGTCAAGGTGAAGGACAGTGAACAGCCATGAGGGGGTTGGTCTAAACACAGCAGAAAGCACACAAGGTGGGTTTTATTCATTCACTCAGCAAGTACTTACTGAGTCCATTCCACATGGTCATCGTGATGATGGGTACCTCATGCTCAGTGGGAGCCAGGAGGGAGGGGGTCTGGCCCCCTATGAAAAATCAGCCAGTGCAAACCCTGCAGAGCACAGTTCTGGTCTGTCACACATGAGTCACTGTAAGTTGGAATTGAGGTAATGGCAACTGGGAAATCCATCTGTGGTGGCTGTGATGCTGGAAGCTATTCCACGAGTATTTCAAGTTCCAGCAGCGTCACCTTGGTAGACAGGTTTCAGAGTTGCTTCCAGACTAAGACTGAGAAGAAAGGCTGGGCCATCCACTTGCAAAAGTTACACAGTGGCAACCCGGTGGATCACAGAAGAACGTTGTGTCCAATGTAGTACTGAAAGATGAACCCCAAAGTTGGGAGGCATTCAAAACACACCGTGACAATAATGGGCTGAAGCATACCAGTAGTCATAAAGATGCCACAGGAGGAGGTAACATTGTGTTCTGTTGTACATGGGGTCCCATGAGCCTGAGCCAACTCTTAACAATAGTAGCGTCTAACACTCGGGTCAACATCTCTAATCAAAGAACCCTTTGCCACTGTCAGCTCCCCACACCTGTGTCTGTGGTGAACTCTTCCACTGAGCAGTGATGCTACACACATTGGTGTCACACACCAGGAGGCAGTCAGTTGAACAGGGCTCTGCCACCACAAGCTAGGCATTCTCAGGCTTGCTTTACTAGCTCCGAAGTGGGTAATGGGAGTTCCTAGTGCTGGTAGAAATGTAACCGCCAAGGATCACGAGGCTAATGTGGAAAGACTTTAGAGAGTTTAGTACTTGGAGTTTCCTTAGGTTTGCTCGACTGGTTCTCTTGGAAAAGCAGCCTTTATAAATACAACTTTTAAAGTTCTCCTAGCAGTGAGAATGAATGGCTTGAATTGAATCCTATTGTAGCTTCCATTTGGAAAAAAAAACACAAAACAACTCCAGCCGCTGCCAAGAACATTCTATGTTGCTTGCATTGACTGTAGCAAAGGAAGAAAATGCCCTTGTTAGCAGATTTATTGGGCTATTGCCCTTTTGCTCGCAGACTAGTTTTCAGATTTGTTCTGCTCGGGGAGTTTCTGTTTGTATATCCAGCCTTCAGACCAGATGGAGCCTAAAATAGCACCAAGTGGAGTGGGCAGCACCGACAACTGTCCCAGTACTATGTCTTCCCAAGAGTGAACTTCAAAGGCAGTCCCTGGTCATCCCTGTAAATCTGACCCTAGAAGCCCTCTTGAGATGGTAGTGCACTTAAGTTCTGCACTTGGTGCTGTGTTCCCCCAGGAAGAAGCGTTCCCCTGCAGTCAATCCTCCTGAACCTGGCTCCACACATCTCCCACCACGAGGGAGTGTGGAAGGAAGCCAGTCTTGCCTAATTTCTCCCTCCCCATCTTCTTTTTGAAGGGAAGGGAAGAGGCCCTGCAAAAGGGAAAGGAACTGAGGGCAGCATTCTGTGCTCAAGATGCCCTTGACCCGCAGGTTCTGCCCATCCTGGTGAAGGAAGATGCCCCCCCCCCCACTAGCTGTCACCCACTCTAGGAATGGAGCCTGAGGACTGCGATCTCAAACTAGAGATGTACTTTTCATAGCCACCTTTGATTGAGATGAATATTCTCCCCTTCCGAACGGGGACACAGAGGCTTATAGATGAATCTGTAATTCTGTTCGAGCCTCTGCCTGGTGACTCCAATCTAAAACATACTATTTGGGAGGAGAAGCTGGCTGCTGACTTACTGGTGTAACCCAATCCTAGTCATGAGGCCAGCTAGCAGCAGTTTGAAGTCAGGGCTGAGCATATGTTTGCTCTTGGAAATGAAGTTCTAGCCAACCAGATTTTTTTTCTTTAATTAAAACAAAATGCTGGGTAGGGTAAGAGAAGGAAATCACAAGGCAGTTTTCCACAGCACTCAGTTGGCCTCTGGCAATTCAGCAAGGCTCTAGAAAGACCCAGCGTCCTTGTCTCAGTCTTCTGGGTGAGGCGGGATCAAAGTGTAACCTCTGTGCTTAGGTTCAAGTGAAGATCAATTGGCAGTTCAGCACAGTTGACTGCCAGGCCCTCAGTTGAAGGTGTTCCGTTTGATGAGACCTGTGTCCTGATAGTGCTGCCCCACTGAGGCTGTGATGGGTTTGCGCAAATACAAGGACTCCTCGGGCATACACTGGCTTCCTTCAGGAATCCCCATCTCAAGGGTTCTTGTCCAGCCACTAGCCTCCTCGCTGCTTTGCCGTCCTGTTCCATATCCCTCCAGAAACCCGGAGCCGACGATGGTTCTTGTTCAAGGGTTACAGAGAACGGAAGCAACAGGGGTCGCCTCCCCAGTGGGAGCTTCATTCACGGCCCTTTCTTTGGGGGCATGACACATCACCTACAGTAAACAAAGACTGAAGGTGCGTAATAAAATTTCTTGACTCGAAATCACTTCCTCCAAGAGGATGATCAGACGGTGTGTTCATTTCCGAAAACATCACTGGCTCCCCAGCACGTGAGGTCTGACAGTACTGAGCTTCTGAGAGAAAGGAAATACTGACAAGAGCATTTCCCTGTGGGATTTGCCTGTAGGCAATATGCTTGGAAATGAGGTAAAGGCTAGCTACTGGCAGCCCCAGTGTGCTAACATACCAGCAAGCAGCACAGCTCTTGAGGGATGTCAGATCCTTGCTGGCCTCTGCTTGACTTTGGCTTGGTCCCTTGGGGGTGGGGGGTGGGGGTGGGGTGGGCACTATAACCATTGCATCTTCCTCAGTTTTAACTCGACTCACAGCCATTGAGTCAATGCAAATGTATAGAGACTCTATATAGGATTTGTAAGGCTGTAAGTCTTTAATCTTTATGGGAACTGATTAGTCTCATCTTTCTCCTAAGGATTAGCTGGTAGGTTTAAACCATCTACCTTGTGGGTAGCAGTCAGCACTTACCTGAGAGGGTTCCTAAACTTTGGTAGAGGGTTTATTGGCGCCATGCAGCTTGCTTTGGAAAACTGAGATCTGCTCTTCAGCAAGTGTGAGAAGTCTTCTTGATATTATGTTGTAGGTGTGATGGGGAGAGCCAGGGGGGGCAGGGCAGGGAGGACAGAAGGACCGGCCTCTGCTGTGTTGGGTCACCATTCTGATGCCGGGGGCTTGCCTGGCAGTGCAGGGCCTGAGAGGGCTTTTGTTTGGATCTTTCCTCAGCGTCTCTTTTTTCTTTCCCACAAAGATTCCCTTTGGGGAAACTCTTTAAAGAATAGAGGTCCCCTTATCTGGAGGGCATTGTAAAATCCTCCTGCAAGGGAGTCCTTTGTCTTGTTCTCTTGAAATCCCCAAGACAACGTCAGTGGTGACAAGGCAACCAGGCCTGAACCCTTGCTGCCAAGTGACTTTCTGGTTTGGAAATCGAGGTTTCGGATGTGCGCTTTCCTTCCCATACTGAATCTGCCGGACACTAGGTGGCACCCTTGTGAGATTCTAGGGTGGCTCCTCTTCACGTGTCTTCCCTGGGTAGCATACTGGGCCTTCTCCTCGTCTCTGTACTCACGACATTGTGGCATTACACAGGCCAGCACTTCTTTGGAAGAGATTTTACCCTTTCAGAAAGGTGTCCTTGGATTTCCATCTGTGCTGAGAATAGTTGAGAGAGTGAGCCAACCTAAGTCTCAGGGGAGAGACTGAGCCACCAGGGCTCTGGAGGCCTAGGATTACGTCCTCTGAAAAGCCCCCAATCAGAAGCACAGAATAACAGACCCTCTCATCCTCTCATTGTGTAGAAAATAGGCTGTGATGGCATCATTGGGTCGGCCGCCAAAGAAGACCGATGTGGGGTCTGCAGCGGGGATGGGAAGACGTGTCGTGTAGTCAAGGGGGACTTCAACCACACCCAGGGCTCTGGTAAGTATTAGCCAGCGGGGCTCAGTGACATGGCCAACACCGCCAGATCCTCTGCCCAACAATCAGGTGCTCCCTGTGGGTGTTCCCTGCATTTCTCAATGAAAAATGCTTCCGTTTAATGATTCCGAAAGGCAATGAAAGACATTTTAGCTCAGATTGTGTCTTTATTTTAAGCTTCTAGAAGTGGGTAGTTTGCCTGCCCTCAATGGCCAGCTCCTAACCACCTTGAGAAGTAGTTGTCCAGACCCAACTTGTTCCTATGACGCCTCCCAACTTCATGTCCACTGTGCTTTGATGGACACCAAGAGAAGGTGACTCCATTTCCACCAGATCTCCTCGGCAGTGTCACATTTCCTAGCATAAAAGTATGGTATTACCTATGTGTATCTATAGAATGTTCTTGGAAGCTGGGTTGATCTTAGCCACTGAGACTCCAGGGTAACAGAGTCTCCTACTTCCAAATATAAAACTCCCCTCAACAGCATCTTTGGGGACTTTATCAACTGAAGTTCCTAAGCCTTCTTCACCTTCCTGCTTGCTTTGTCCAGAGGAAGGAAATGGCTTTCTGCCTTGGGAGAAACCAACATGTGATGTCCAAAGATGCATCTATAGTTGATCCTTAGGGAGGCATGAGGCAGGCAGCACACTAGGAGGGGTGCCGTTACTTACCTTGAGCCCCACGTTGGGCATCAAATGTAGTGTTCGGTGACGATGCAGGGCAGAAATGAAGACGCGGACATGGGAAATGTGGTTTAACACCAGCGAAGGGCTGACACCTCTGTGCTGGGTGTAGCCCAAATGGCTGCATGCACGGTCTTTTATTTTCTCAGCTAGCTAAGGCATGGGTTAGTAATCACATATGTACTTTCTCAAAGTAAACAAAGAACGAGGGAGCAGACTAAGCACTAGGTTCTCATAACAAACTGCATTATCAGGAGACCTCAGACAGGTCCTGTTCCCATAATTGCATCCAAGCCGTTTGCAGCCCAGGTGCCCAGATCTTCCCTCATGTGCAAGGAATATCTGGTGTCCATGGAAACAGTCCACTGCCCTCAGGCTCTGTTAACTCCTTCAGGTCCAACAGGGTGCTCTCCTCGGAGCCCTCATGGGTGTCCAGTCACCCTGCCTCAGCCCGAGAGCTAGTAGCACAAACCTCAGCACTATCCTTGTCCCCATCCTGAACAGGCAACTTATGCCCCCTATTCCCAGGTGCCTTGAGCATAGGGTGAATGGAGATTGGAGCATATTCCAAGGGTTCAACTGGTGTCCCAAGATAGGGCCATGTAGTGAGTAAATTATAGCAACTCAGACTTTCAGCATGCAGTGTTCTCCACCAATTGTGCTTTTGTGATGACCCAATTTTCTTTCTTTTGAATACCAAAATCATTATCACTTCTCCCATAGTTGTTCAGTTGAGTCCCACCAAATATGAGTACAGAATATGGCTACGTTTCGAGGCACTGAAGAGACATCGTGTATGCCTCCTCCTTTCTCTATTTGGATGAGACTTGGTCTACAGTAAATGTTTCTTCGAGATAATCCGGGGGCAGGACAGCCTACTGCACCAACATTTTGCAGGATGTTGGAAAAGAAAAACCAGAGGCAAATACAAAAGCCAAAGCATTAAGCTGCAGAAGGGCTGCCCAAGAAGGGCTGAGTTAGCAACTTTAAAGGCAAGTGGGAGACTCTGTGTCTGCCTTCTGAGATGACTGCTCTCGGAGCTGTGCTGTCCTGGACAGGAAGCACTTGCCACCAGAGTATTTATAAATTTTAATTCATTAAAATTAAGCAAAATTAGAAATTCAGTTCCCCTGCCTCATGGGCCACATTTCAAGTGCTCAGAGGCCGTAGGGGGCTAGTGGCCAGCAGAGCAGAGAAAGAGCACTTCTGTCATCAGAGAAAGTTCTATTGGACTGTGCCGCTTTGGTCAATTCTGCCCTGGTTCTACATATCCTATGTTATTTTCTCTGTGGCTATTGCATCCTGCAACACAGATCAGAACGAAGCCTCTGCAGATGGCAAAGACCTTCTGTTTACCATTGATTAACAAAGCAAACATTAGAACTTTACACCTAAATCGTGCTGAAATCCAGTAAATAGAGGCAGGTAGAATATAGCCATAGGCTATTGTCCAGAACGCAGAGGAAGGCCACACACACACACACACACACACACACACACACACACACACACACGGAGCAAACCCAGATCCAGGCAAAAGCTTCGCCCATTCGCCATTTGGGCGTGAGTGGATGGAGCCATATGTGGTCCACGGTAACCCCCTACTTTTTGCTTCATTCTTCCTTTCCTAGCTGGTTCCCCTCTCTGTAGAGGGTGTAGGTAGGTGGTGTGGAATATACAGCCTTCTACCTGGAAAGAGCAGACCTGTGCATCTGCAATGTTCAATCCCCCGTGGAAGGACAGATAAATGGGGTGTCTTCCCCCCCACCCTCCTGACTTGTGGCTTAGCATGCTTCGAGCTCCTTAGGCAAAAAGACTTTAGCAAGCCTCAGAGAAGAACATGAGTAGCTTCCCACCCAGACCCACTGCCAGTGAGCTGATTCCCTCTCCTAGGGACTGTCTAGGGTTTTGAGGCTATAAGTCTTTATGGGAGCAGATATGTCTCTTTCTCCTAAGAAGCAACTGATGGGTTAGAATTATTGACCTGTCAACCAAGACTGCCTGTAATCGTCTGTCATTATGAGTGGTTGACAAATTTAAAGAATATACCTTTTCAAATCTTCATGGCTAGGGAATGTCTGTTGGCAGAAACTCATTTAAATATGGATTCTGTTAATTTAAAGTATGTGTGTGTTCTGTCTCACACAACACTCTCCACTTTTTCATTGAGGCTGTAATTCAGGTGGAAATGCTTAGGATAGAGTTGTTCAATCTGTACATGTAACAAAGTTCTTTCAAGGATGTTAATAAATGCCTGAAGGTGTTAAAGGCTCATCTTAAAACAAGCAGCCATTTAAGTGAGGAGTGCACCTGCCTGTGTGATCCAAGGACTGTAGATAATAAAAATCCAAAAGCAGAGAAAGAAATTGTATTAGAAAATTCTGAGCACCCAGTTTTCAGAAGCCTATGGATGACAGAGAAAGCCCAAAATCCATTTGCAGAATCCCCATGTGGATTAAGCCTCTGGTAAATTCCTTCAGCCCACTGATTGACCGGAGATGTGACTGCCCTTGCTATCAGAGAGAGTGTATTGAAACGTGGATTACCGCAGGTGTCCAAACTGAAAACCAAACTTGCTGCCACTGTGCATTCCAATTCTTCGTGACCCGATCGGACTGGGCAGGACTGCCCCTGTGGGTTTCTGAAACTGTAACTCTCTACAGGAGTAGAAAGCCTCCTCTTTATTCTGCAGAGAGGCTGTTGGTTTCAAACTGCTGACCCCACATTTAGCAGCCCAGGGCATAACCATGGTGCCACCAAGGTTCTTATGTTAAAGCAGATGTATTTAGGTTAAAATTGCAACACTTTATCATTTATTTTCCTTTTTGACCCATGTTAAATTTGTTTTAGTTTTCTGTTTTGTTTTGTTGTTGTTATTTTATATGATTTTCCTCATATGAAATCCATGATAGGTAAATCTATAGAGACAGTAACTAGATAAATAGTTTCTTTGGAATATACTACTGGAGGTTGTAATGAGTACAAGAATGAAGAAAGAGTTCTAAAATTGTGGTGGTGATGGCAAACTCGTTTTAATAGATTTAAACCATTTACTTGTATATGTGAAGTACATGCCAATAAATAAATGGCCAAAGGGCGTGCTACTTGGTGGTAATCTCAGCACAAAGGCACTCAATCCCCGCTCTGTGAGTCATGTGGGAGATGATAGGTCTTATCTCCCTCAGATAAGTGCAGAGAGGTACCAGTACTCTGTGGGTTCGGAAGACTACTCTCTCATGCCTAGAACCTGCTTCTGCTGCTGCTTCTCTGCCATTGCTTAGATGTCAAAACTGGCTTCTAAATCAAGGTGCTTCACTGTGCAGGGATCTCAAGGTCTGAGGACTTGCTCCAGCCCCTGGATCTTGCTGGTAGTAAGACACCTCATTCTGTTTCTGAGAGGGTTTATTTTATATACAGCAGGATGCCAAGCACAATGGACCTTGTTAACAAGCACTCACAACTGAATCCTATCAGTATCTTTTCCAACCTCCTGCCCAGGCCCATCTGGAAACGGTTGTTTGATAAGAGTAACAGAAACTGTGGCTAGAAGAACCACAGGATGCAATTTGCTGCCCTGAAGTGTGCAGAGTTCATTTGCACAAGAATGAGTCACCAACTGCATACCTACCATATTTTCATTAAATACACACCTGTAATAATGGACTAATTGAGTGCATATACATAGAGATAATGGTAAATAACCACACACAAGTCCATTCCTCAATAAAGACTTACCATATATACTCGTGTATTAGCCAAGTTTTTCAGCACATTTTTTAAAAACATTTTATTAGGGACTCATACAACTGTTATGCCAATCCATACACACATCAATTGTGTAAAGCGCATTTGTACATCGTTCTCAAAACATTTTCTCTCCACTTAAA